AAACTCGTACCAGGATTTTATCTGGTCGGTCAGAGAAGAATCTTCAACAACACACTTGAAACACGAAGAAGTAGAATTAACGGACGGCGGCAACGGCCACTTATGACCCAAGCTATCGGTAGGCGAACGGAACACGGTGATTTTTATCATCTCCCAAGATGAACTCAACGGGTCTAACGGCATGGTTTTCATGAGAGTCTCTACAAAGAACAAAGACCAAAACAGAAATCATATTTTTCAATCCTCAGGAGAAAAAAATATTGTTTTAAAGTCGCAAATTTAAACCCACTGAATGGATTGCTACTTTTTTGAGGAAACCTTTAATATTATAGTATAAGTGAAGCCAAAACTGGGGATTGACTGATAAATTGACTGATGCATTACCAAATCGAATTAATTTTGAGACCATTCAAGCTGTGATTTCACTCCTTTTTGAGAAATAGTTTATGAGGGTTTGTTAATGTGTAGGTAAATCAAAACAAAAGCTAATTTTTAATTTTTTATTGGATAATATTCCCAGGAGAGCGTAACACAGATTGGTGTTTTTTATGTTCAGACCAATTCACTAATAGAAGTTCGCAGTCAAAATTTTTAGACATGATAGCTGAAACTCTATTTTAAAAAATAAGCCGGATTATAAAAAGTCGAAAAAAACTGTCAAAATTGCTTTCAAATTGCCGCTAGAAAATTTAATTAGATGATGTCAGAGAGGTGCTCATAAGGCCAAAACTGTGATTTTCTGTGATGAAAACTGCAAGAGCTGTTTGAAACTATGGACCTAATGAAAATTTTCTTTAATGAGCAAGGAGCTGAGGTTCTTCTGAAAAACGAACACAAAAAAATGCTTAGGTACCGAAAAAAAATCAACTCGGGTTTTGGTTTTCACTACATAAAATGGCCAATTTTTCAGTCAGTTTCTCTGCAAAAGTTTCTCCAAATTTTGTTCATACTTTCATAAGTTTTAGTTTTAATTCATACTTTTAAGTTCATTGGGCCATTCCCCCGGATTGGCACAGCGGAACCTTCCGTCGCATCACGAAAACAACATTAGAGGCCTTAGTCGTTACGTATTGATGTGAAGGAGGCTAGAATTTTCTAGAAGAAAATTTTAAGAAAAATTCGAATTGCGACGGTACATTTCTGAGAAAT